ATTCTGTGATTCTGTGGTGTGGCTGGACAGGCAAGGGAGTGTTTGGTGTGCAGGTGAAGCTGTGTGATGTTTTCTTGGGAAATCCAGCCTCTTGTGTGGCTGTTTCTCCTGCTCAGAAAGGAGTACATGCCAGCTCTGGTGCGGACGCTGCAGAGCAGGAGGGTGCTGGAGGGCAGCGGTGGTAGAGCAAAGTGTCCTTCCCAGTTTGCCCTCGGGTGTAACCTCTGCCGCTCGGTCCTGTTCTGAGTGCCCCCCATCACGAGCCTGTGAAATGGCTGAGGACCGCCGTGTTCACCGCTCTTCCCAGGTCCCTTCGGGGCTCTTCATCCCCAGCATGGCCGTGGGAGCCATCGCGGGCAGGATGCTCGGCGTGGCCATGGAGCAGCTGGCCTTTTACCACCACGACTGGGCCATCTTCAGCGGCTGGTGCAGCCAGGGAGCCGACTGCATCACTCCCGGCCTCTACGCCATGGTGGGGGCCGCGGCGTGCCTTGGTGAGCACCGGCTCTTTCGGGGTCCCCGCTGCGGGTGGGATCTGGGTTGGCCGCGTGAAGATGTGGAGCAGCGAGATGTTGCTGCCGCTCTCGCAGTCCCTAGAAGCTGGCTTCATCCCTGGCTTCATCCCTGGCTGCATCTCAAGAACAGGAAACCCTGTGGTAGCATGCACAGCGTGTTTCTCGTCCTGCTTGCATTCGTTTGCCAGCACCAGGCTCTCGCTGGAGGTGACAGGTTTCAGTGGGGAGTCTCCTGAATAGAACAAACAAGACTGGCCAGGGACTGTGGATTTTCCTGGGGGGTTTTAATTCATTTTACTTCCCGTTCCAGCCTTAAATCTTATGATGGAACTCTTCTTTCGAGTGCTCTGCTTTTTGGTAACACTTCTTCCGTTTGGCTGAATTTGAGAAATGGAGTGCACGTGGCTGCACTTCACTCTCACTGCCATTCCCAGTCCTCTCCTCCATGGAATAATATTTTTAACTCTTAAGGACTACTTGACTGTATCAGGAGAAGCTCTCATTTCAGGAACAAGAAAAGCACGCTACCAAAAACCATCTTTGATCTTTTTTAAAGGGGATAAACCTTCTTGTTTGCATATAATTGATGAAAAACAAATATGATTCCACTTCATTAACTGTTCTGTTTCCCACTGGACAGTACTAGCGGGCATGAACCCCTCTAGGAGATGGTTGTTGGAGCACAACTCCTCTGAAATATTTGGGAGTAGCTTCAGGACTTGAATCTCAAAAGCATAATTAAAATATGCCAAGGCAAAATGCTGTTATAAAGAATAATAAAAATTATTTAAAAACCCTTGTAAGCCAGCCCACGGCCTGATATTCTGGAAGGGACGGATGGGTCCGGATGGGATGGATGCGGTGCTGAGTGGGATGTAGGAGCCCATCAGTGCAGCCTGGTGCTGATTCAAGACCTTTTCTGGGTGCGTTGGCAGAGGACAGCTGTAGCAGACCTCAGCACAGCTCTCCTGCCTGGAAACCCCTCTGAACTGCCCGTTCACGTCGTCTGTCTTCCTGCGTTCTGTTGGCAGGTGGGGTGACCCGCATGACCGTGTCTCTGGTGGTCATTATGTTTGAGCTCACTGGTGGCCTGGAGTACATCGTTCCTCTGATGGCCGCAGCCATGACCAGCAAGTGGGTGGCGGATGCCATCGGGCGGGAGGGCATTTACGACGCCCATATTCGCCTCAACGGGTACCCGTTCTTGGAAGCCAAGGAGGAGTTCTCGCACAAGACGCTTGCCATGGACGTAATGAGGCCGCGGAGGAACGATCCTCCTCTGACCGTCATCACTCAGGACAGCATGACCGTCGAAGACGTCGAGACCATCATCAGTGAAACCACGTACAGCGGCTACCCGGTGGTGGTGTCGCGGGAGTCCCAAAGGCTTGTTGGGTTTGTCCTCAGGAGAGACCTCATCATTTCAGTTGGTAAGAGGCAAGATACTGGTGCCATGTAAGGGCTTTAAAGCTCTTCAGTTTGGAAAAGGAAAGGAGGGATGATATTTAATCAAATATTTTTTTTTCTTCCAGAAAATGCCCGGAAGAAGCAGGACGGGATCGTGAGCACTTCCATTATTTATTTCACTGACCACTCTCCTCCGCTGCCTCCGAGCTCCCCCTCCATGCTGAAACTCAGGAGCATCCTGGACCTCAGTCCTTTCACAGTGACCGACCAGACGCCCATGGAAATCGTCGTGGATATATTCCGCAAGCTGGGGCTGCGCCAGTGCCTGGTTACTCACAACGGGTAAGAGCCCTGGGGTCCCTGAGCCAGAGCCTCCTCTCCTTTGATCAGCCTCTGGTGTGCAGAGCTGAGCATCAGCTGGAGCAGTTGTCTGGAAAAAGGCAGTTGTGGAAGCGCCGAGCCTCCTTGGGTTGGAGCAGTAACGTGGAGCCTGAAGGGCGAGGACACAGCTCCGGGGGCCGATGGGGCTCTCAAAGCGATGGAGAGGGCTCCCAGCCTCTGCTCAGAGCTGGCCCTGTGTCTGAGTTCGCTGCGGTGTCCATCAGAAACTCGGTGTTTGGTGACTGAAAACGCAGCTCCAGACATCCAGGGTGATCTTTTCAGACAAGGGGGATGTTAGTAAGGAATACTCGTCTTTTGGTTGCAACCTCCTTCCCTCCGTAGCGTACAATGCTGGCAGAGTGCCTGCTGGGGCTTGCGAGCGCCGCACTGGGTGTGGAGCGGCAGCGCTGGGGTCGAAACGGCGGTTGAATTAAATTGCCCTGCGTGAAGCTGGGTGAGAGCAAGGATCCCTCCGGGGGGTGTCAATGCACTAAAACTCCATTTTTGTTTTTCAGGAAGCTGCTGGGGATCATTACCAAAAAGGATGTCTTGAAGCACATTGCACAGCTGGCGAACCAGGACCCGGACTCTATTCTCTTCAATTAAAGGCAGACCAGGAGGTATTGTGTGTTCAGCACAAAATAAACTGTATAGAAGATCCTGGATAGACTTCCCTATTTTTATTGAGACCATGGAACTGTTTTCAGCACTCCTTTCCGTGGAGCTGAAGAAGATAACTTTTTTCTACCAGATAACCAATTGCACTACATAGTCTGTGGAACATAATCTTCTTTTTAGAAGAAAAAAAAAAAGAGACTTTATTTTCGTTGCTTTTGTGAAGTTGCATTGGAAAGATTCCATGAAGGAGTAAAAGCAAAATGCTATAGAATAATATAATCTCCTCTTCTCATTTCATTTGAACTCTTGTTACTAATGTGGGGAGGAAAAGACAAGGTCTGTACCTTCAGCAATTTTGAAGGAGAAGGATGATTTTGCACACAGTGTTCAGGTGGTGGCAGAAACGGCTGTAACTCAGGGGTGGTGTATTCCCAATTAGCCACTTGGTAAAAACAAGAACCTTGTAAAATCCAAGTAGTGGAGGGGGGAAAAAATTGCCTACCTGAGGATGAGGATGTTTTGCTAAAAGAAGGAGAAGAAAAACCCCAAACAACCCAGATCTCCTTAAAATTGAGCCCAGGTTCTGATTGGGAAGAAGCTTATTTTGATTAATCTTCTGTGAATGTATTTAATTACTGTGACGCTGCCTTGCCAGGAGAACCCCGAGGAGGGGGAGGAGGAAGCAGGAGGAGCTGACAGTTGTGTTCTCACTGTGATCCTTTTTTTGGATCTATGCCTGAGGGTTTCTTCTCCTTGATTTCCCTCGAGCATGTCACTGAAGTGGCAAAGGCTGGGTTCTCAGTGATCAGCCCGGCTTTACTGCGCATCCCGATCACGGCAGATACTGCACAGCCCACCTCCTCCTTCCTCAGCCGTGTCTCGGGTGCTGAGGCTGTCCCACCAGGAGCCCCCAGTGTTCCCCACAGCCTCGGAGCCCGATCCTGACCCCGTTCTGTCCGTGCACCCTCAGGGGCTCTCCTTTTGCCAATGACTATGCAATAAACCCCTCGGGACCCCCGTCACCCCAGCAGCTCCTTCCACGGCTCTGCTCCTCCGCGCCCTGTCCCAGATCTTACCCAGTTATTTTCCTGATAATAAAATGGTGACGGTTACTGGCGTTGGAAGGTACGTGAATGCTTTTGCCCATCACGGCTTCGGTCTGCAGCAGATGTCGTTTGAGGGTCGGTGGCCGAGGCTCGGCAGTGGCAGCAGCTTCTCCTCCCCTCCAGCTCAGCACCGGGGCTGCAGAAAGGAGCTGAGCTCCCGAGTGATGGCCAAGAATTAGGGAGTGGGGTCTCGGGCTCCGCTGGCCACTGCTGGGCTGCTGAGCAGGTACCGCACTTCCTACAGCCCCAGGGGCCCTGGTGACAACCCCCTGGTCCCCGCCAGACCCCTCTGAGCCCGGCTGGGGCAGGAGGCGAGGGCTTGGCCCTGCGAGGCTGCGGCTGCTGCCCGGGATCAACTGTCCTGGGGCAAGACCGCACTTCCTACAGCCCCAGGGGCCCTGGTGACAACCCCCTGGTCCCCGCCAGACCCCTCTGAGCCCGGCTGGGGCAGGAGGCGAGGGCTTGGCCCTGCGAGGCTGCGGCTGCTGCCCGGGATCAACTGTCCTGGGGCAAG